ACAAAGAAAACAAAGACATAAACTAGTGGCTATTTCCCACTTTTGATCCAAAATGTATAGTAACTGCAGCAGAAGTTGTTGCTTTACCTAAATGTATGCTGTGAGTTTATAATGCTTCATGACAATGGACATATAATTTTTTTTTTTTTGTAAATTTACGAGATTATAAAACGTATATATTCTATCTACATATCCAAAACGAAAAGTTACTGGTTTTAGCTGTCAGTTTACACAATAAAAAGTAAATGTTTTCTTTCTGTGCCAGATAGAGAAACCTGAATACACATCTAATGAAGAAAGTAAGAAGAAGAAAAAAAAAGAGTACCCTTACCATTCAGTGCTGCATCAGTTAGACATATTAAAAAAATGTGGAGCAGAGTTATGAAAAATGTCAGCTTGTCCTGGGAATAAGTGCAAAAATAGAACTGGTTGATCAAGGCAACTCATGTTAAAATCACAATAAAGAGTCTGTCTTAAGAGGCTAAAAATATGGATAAACAAAAGAACTAGCAGAGTGACTGAATAAAGGACCACACAAAGGGGGTTATTGTGGAAGTGATTGTCTTCGGTTCACATTCTGCTTGTACACATCTGCGCGAGGGACGGGGAGGAGACGTATTCGACCAGCCGGGCTTGAAACCTGTCGCGCACAGCGAGTGACAGTCAAAGTTGAGTGCCACGAAATGTAAATGAACCGGAGCAAAAACTATAAACATCTATTGCCGGATGTGTCTTTTGTTCTGTGAAATGAAATAAAAGAATCTCTCCACACAACCCTCGAGCAAAGTCAAACATTTCAAGAAAGCGCTTTAATTCTATGCTGGCAGGAACCTGGTAACAGGTCGTGGATACGCCACTGGATGTAGATTATGAGCAGCCGCTAATTACAGAACGGTGCAAAGAGAAAAGAAGAAAAAAGGAAAAGGTCTTGGGGACAGATCCGAGGGCTTGATGTCATCTGCTGTAACGCCGTTACTGCTGAGACAAATGATCACTGGAAATTAGCTCTATTTATACTTCAGAATATTTACCCATCATTATAAAACTTGTTTTTTTATTCCCCCCCAACTAATTTTCTAAAATAATATTTTAAGAAAGAGAAAAAAAATCCAAAACTGTGGGCTTTTTGAATTCATACAGCCCACATTTTGTCACTATTTTGTCCTTTTTTTCTGTCTGCAAAATACTCAGTATTAATTGCAATTCATAAAAAAAGCCAAGAACTGAGAGCTGATCAGTTGCAGCCAGACACCTACATGAGACCAACGGATACCGTTTGAGGAACGATGGATCTTTCCTTCAACAGAAACCCGTCGACGTAATTTTATCTTACTTTGGGATTCTGCTACAACTACGGAAAATAAAATATTTAGAAAGCCGATTATTTCTATTTTATAACATGCAATTAGAGGGAAAAAAAGGTCATTTTAGGTAATATATTTTAATGATTGTGGCAGGCCGCCAACTTGCGAACGCTGTGGTTAAAGGAGTGTCGCCGCTAATAGACATTTTGTCGACTTGCAGCCAAAAACATCAGTGCTTTTATGTGGCGGGTCAGCATAAAGCAGTGCAAAGGGGAAGGAAAAAGAATAAAATGTCACAATAAAAATGTGAAAAGTGCAGCGTGCATGTGTTTTCTGCTTGTGTGTTTTGGGGTTATCTCTCTACCAGCTGGAGGTGGATGTTGTCGCCTTTCCTCCAAAGTAGCTCCAGCTCACTCAGACAGGCTGGAGAGCATCTTCACTCAGGGGTTTCAGAGTAATAGGGGCTCAGTCCAAATATAGCCTCTCATTTTCCAGATGTTTGAAGGTTGAAAATTACTAAAATTTTAAGGCACTGCTTTGTGTTACTCTATCACATACAATCCAACTAAAAGACAGTAAGCTTTGATGTTGTATCATGACAAATAAAACACGGGAAAGCTCAAAATGTATTTGGCAATGCACTCTATGTAGTTGAATGTCCTCTCCAAGTTGTAGTCGTACTCTAATGTCAAAAGCAAACGTTGGGTCATGTGTGGATACTCTGATCTGCTAACAGGGGAGGGGATATTTAAATGATTCCCACACATGCAAAAGCAGTGCTGGTGTAAATCCCGCCCGGAGCCCTGATGTTATTTTGCCTTGTTTGTAATTCTCCGGTTACAGCGGAGCCTTCGGGAGCGCCGAGCGGAGCAGCTGGGATGTTTATTCAGATCAGATGGCACACTGTAATTTTGCACAATTCTGCCACTGAATTTTCCCGAGTACCTATACCTGCTTTGATTAATGGTGGTCCAAAGGTTTTTTTTCTCTTTTTTATGTCAAACACGTCTGAAACACACATTAACACACATGCTGCATTTAAATATTACAGAACTGTTTATCCATTATGCAGTTAGCCTATTGCACTTTTCGTTTTTTACAAATTAAAAAACTTTGTGTGCATGAGGGATAGAGTGTTTACAAAATGTAGCTGTGGTTTTTAACTCACTGTTGTTTATTGTTCACCAAGGTTGGGGCAAAAATTATATATATTATAAAAAATATAAATTCTCTCTAGTGTATGAAATCTGTACATCCACCTGCTGACATATGGCAAGTTTACCTCTTGAACTTTGAGACCAGTTTTGAACTAAAGTAAAGTTAGTAAACTAACTCCACTTTTTGTAAAGTTAGCTTACTTTATGTTAGCTAACATTGTTAACTGCTATAAAGTCGTTTGTCGTTCCATTTTATATCCTAGAAAGACATTACTGACCTAAACGTAATCTGAACTTTGCCGCAGCTCCTTATACTTAATAATGAATTGCAATACATCACCAGCTTCTTCGCATTAATCACAGCACCATATTAAAGTGAGCTGACTTTGACCAAAGCAAAAACAATCACTCCTGATTTTCAGCAAAAGCGATCTAACTGTTTCTACACCCCGTGGGAATTTCAACGCGTGCCGCTGATCACATTTGCTGTTGACCCAAGTGTCTGCTTTGTCAGAATGATCTGAGATGTGCTGATGATTTTACTCCCTTTTTTTTTTTTTTTTTTTTTTTTTTTAGGCTTTCAGGGTCAGTAGATGTGTGCCGGTTTGTGCCTTTCGTTCTTCTAGAAACTCTTGAGTATATATCTAGAGTCACATTAGCCGACCCTTTGCTTTAAAAATAACACTTTAAAGATTGCTCGCTGGTGCCAAATATAAATCTGCCATTTTTCATCCTGTCCTGCGGTCAAACACGCTTACAAACAGGGATGATAATTATTTTTTTCTTTCTACAGCCACAGGTGATGTCAATGTGTTCTTCTTACTCCCATTCTGTTTGTTTTAGTCTGCACTATCTGTAGCTGATATGAGATAAAATGTTTATCATGTTTTGTTTTTTTTTCACTATTAATTGAAATGTATCCTTTCTAAATTCTGGTGATACAGTACAACCACTTACTTTGGGTCAGAGGGAGGTGAAGTGTATCTTAGCATGCATGAAACATTTTTCCTGTATCCATACTTTTTTCTCTCAGACACTTCAACTTTCTGAATTATTAAAGCTGTGTGAGCTTCTCCGAGAAACAGACGACTGCATCGTAGAACAAGATTACCTCGTGGTTAATATTGAAATTATGAGGTCTAATCAGAAGTTCACATAAAAAATTATTACGTTTCTGTGCAAATTTCTCCATTCATCATGGAAAATTGTTCTTTTAATTTATTTCCAGCATAATTTTTCATTTGTTAATTTTTTGTCATTTCTTTTCTTTGCACTTTGGCTGCTATTTGATTTGTTTTTAGTGGAATTTTATGATTGATTTTATGTGGAACACTTATCATAGATCAGTTTATTCATTTACGCATTAAATAAGGCTCCAATTTAGTGTCTTGTCAATTTAAGGCACAGATCCAAATTCAAGTGCTACTTCCCGGAACCTTCTAGCAAGAATCTGTCACAAAGACATAATTCACTTAGTCAAAGAAATTCATCGGTCAGTGATTTGAGTTTGACCTTTTTCCCTTGATCAGCGCCGGCATAATATTTATAAAATATTTTTTTTAAATCCTGCTCATTTAATACATCAAAAATGAATATTTTGTGTGTAAAAACTAAAATATAGGTTCATCACATACGAGTTGATGCAAAAGTAGGAATAATTTTACAATGTCTTCATTATAAGTTGGATTCTAAACTGCTGTCAATGAACCTGTCAGTTTTTTTTTTTTTTTTTGCTTAATGGCCAATATTTATATGATTTTTAGGACTAAGTTTATCTAAGTCTGAGTGTGTTATTGTGTGAAAATTGGAATTGAAGTGGTAGGTCAGAGGTCAAACAAAACAAAAGACAGAGGCAAATTCTGACCATCACCTTCCTCTAAGTCTCTTCCCATTTATTAATTGAATTGATAAAATAAAAAAATTAAAATAAAAAATAAACATCATTTGGCTGACATCAAAAAACAATTTTGCACAAAAAAAGTGTTAAGTCACTGAAATTGAAGGACAATGCAACTTTCATGTATCAGGTCTGGAATTGGTTTGTTCTGTTTCTTAAATACATAATTTTAAGAGACTCTTTGTCTAATCTGTATAGTTTTTTTTTGTTGCCATTTTTCTATACTGTATTGTCCTGCACATGTCCTTTTAATGATGAATGTTGCAAAACGTCATGCAAGACGCTTATCAAAAATACAAATTCTGACAAACACCAGGGAAATCCCATCACTTCTTAAAGGAGCGGTAACATGCGTCTTTCAGGCACATGTTGCCATTTTATAGCACAATCAAGACAGAATGTACCTGCAGTTGTTTTAAAAATGTGGCGTAGATCTAACCTGACCTAAAAGAAATCTGACTTTGCAGTTTAAGCCTTGAAATTAGCCTCTGTCTCTTTAAGAAGCTCCTACTCTTTCCGACTCTCCGCCGTCACCGCCTCATCACAACAACGCTTCTCAATGTTGCCGTTTACAGCCGTTCTGTGGCGTGTTGGACAGAGATATAGTTTGCGTAGAAACCCAAACGGTTCTCCTGCTCTTACCTTAGTCCGTAGAGGACGGTGCCATCAGGGTGCAGTCGGATCATTCGGTTTTTCACCGTCACTCCGTGAAGAAAGGACTTCTTGTCATTAAGGAAGTAAGTATCGGGGAGCCACAGCTGGTCTGCCACACGGTTGTCCAAAGTCAGGTTTAGTTTCAGCTCTCCGTAGGCCAAGCGCTTGTCTCTCCAGCTCTGCTGGAAATACATTGTGATGGTGTAGTCCTGTGAAATGCAAACAACCAAAATGAAAACGTGCATCTATTCTGCGGTGCCGGGGGCATCCCCATCCGTTTGCAAACCTCTGTTCATTTATTTCCTTAATAAGTAGCAGATTAACAGAGAGATTAACACTTTCTGCCAGGATGGTGTGTAGAATTTACACACCGTCATCAGGTTTAAAACCCCACATTTAAACCTGAGTAGAGCCAGGCTAAGATATTATCTTCCATTTCGAGAATAATGTTATTATTACCAAAATAAAGTTTATGAGAATCATAATATTAAGAAAATATTAAGAAGATAACATCATAATTATGAGAATGAAGTCGCAATATTTTGAGAATAATACAGAGTAAAGTTATGTCACCAGAATAAGTTAATATGAAGAATGAAATAATTTTATTACAATTTCTCTAGTTTTTTAACTCCAGATTAGTAGCAGGAGTGCAAACGTCTATTTCAAAGAAGAGTCACAAGTTCATAACTCAAACAAAGTTCTACTCTCATTAAAATAACTTTTTTCTTGTCATTTTACAACTTTCTTCTGGAAATATTTATTCTATCGATATTATTGTCATATTTAAAAAAAAAATCTTAGTCCCTAGTACTCCTTCATACAAATTAATACTTTCTGAAGAAAAAGAAGACCCTTTATAAATTGCTGCGAAACAAAATGAAATGAAAATGGTAAAACTGAGAAATTTGGAATAAAAACAGGACAATAAGGAGAAAGATCTAAAGTGATTAATAGGTAGAAAAGCTGCTCTATGTTTAAATGTAATGGATAATTAAGCCAAACATATGAATGGAAGAAAGGGGAAAAGGAAAGAAAGGAAGGAATGAACTCTGCCTCATCAGAGAAGAGCTGTCAGACAGAGTGACGTCACATCTTAGACATCAACCATATTGTATCTTTCTCTGCTCAGCCTGCCTCTCTAGTTGCCAACAAATAAACTGTTTACCCCAAAAGGAAACGTTTTCAGTTTTGGTGGCAGGCCCACTGCGCCATCAAGCGTTCGCTTAGTTTCCGTCTTTGGTCAGCTTCACAACTGGGCAGCAGGGTTGTGGCTGAGGCCCTCCCAGTGACACAGATGATGTCAACAGTGACCTGTGGTGGGAGGGAGGTGGGCGAACACACGGAGAATGTAACTCACCATGTTTACTTCTGAGATGGAGTCGATGCTGGCTATGTTGATGCTCATCCCTACGATGACTGGGGGACCTGAAGGAGCGAGACAAGAAAAACGAAGCAAAGAATGAACCTTGACAGATTGATTTTGTTTTTGTTTTTTAAGGTAGCGTTTTCTGCTGATTGTTACTGTTAATTGTGAAAAACGAGACACACATGTATACATGGTTTTCAAAATTCGTACTGTGGAAAAAAAACTTTGAAAATTCTAATGTCATCCCTGACATTTGAAGAGAAAAACAGATTTTACTTTTCTTTCTTTTTATTTTTTTTTTTAACACGGAATATGTTTAGAATTACATACATAATCTTCAACCAACCAAAAAGCAAAAACAACAATATGGACTTGTTCCCACCTTTTGGACGACATATTGTGTTAATTTACTTTGACACGAGGCTCTCTGGCACATACGTTGCAATTTGTGCAATTAAGGGTATTTTGACAGTCATTTTCTTGTCATTATGTTTTAATTCATGCTCCCCCTGGCAAATTTTGTGATATGTACACAGTTATGTGTTGTCATTTACTGAAACAAATAAAGTAAAAAAAAAAACAAACAAACAAACAAACAAACAGAAAAAATTATCCCTGACCTGCCTGTGACAAAATATGACAACGTTCATGGGATGTAAATACTTTTAAACCATAACTAACTCCAGATGTTTTATGAAAGAACAGTCGTCTTTGTTGATATGAGACCTCTGTCCAACCGCACCCCAACAACTGCTTCGTCTGGGTTAAGACCCAGGCAACATGAACAAAACGCCGTATGAGAAATGCATCACCCTCAGAAGCTCACCAAATTACCCAGGGAGAACGCGCTCATCCGTACTAATTTCTATGTTAGGAACCCATGTTAGGGAACAAGACGAGCAACCGTTGCTCATCTTCATAATTACAGCATGTGTTGGAGATGTGTAAGCAGTTGTGCACAATTACTCTCTAGAATATACAACAACACTCAGTCCACTTCGGTATTCAGACAACTCGCCGTTGACGAGTATAATCCATTCGCAGTGTCCGTGTAACCGACAGCCAGTGAGTGCAGGGGTTGTGCGGCTGCGTTCTGTATTAATATTAACAGAAAAAACAATGAGTGAATGCAAGTTTACGAGTTTATAGGATGTCAGCAAGCCTATTGTGTTCAATAGTGCGATAAGTAATAGCTAGTTTACCTCATCCTACCACAAGTAGATTTAGTTATTTAAAGTAAGTAACTTTGCCTAAAGGACAAGTCCAGAAAATAATATATATATGTATATATATATATATTATATATATATATATTATATATATATATATATATATACACATAATGTTTCTTAATGCCTGACATTTCATTTAAAAAGAAGTCAGAACGAGAGTATTTGGATGTCTGTCACTCTCGGCGACTTCTCTGTGCGAAACATTACTTTTTTCCGTTCTGTGCATATGCCTGAGCACCTTTCCCCCGCTCTCCCTTCCTCTTCGCTTCCACTGTCACCTTCACTTTGCCTGATCGGGCCGCAAAACACAAAACGCTGACACCAAAAACAGAAAGTACACAAGTGCATAGCAAGTGTGGCAGAGCTGAATCAGGATTTTCCCCATAATGTAACTTGTCTTCATAGTAGAAAATGGCATTTTTGTGGGAATCATAAACAACACAGGAGCGGCTCTCGTGCAAGAGGAGGTTGCGCATATGCAGCGTACGGCAACTCCGAGAGGACTGGAGCTGTGAACGATGAATTTAATCAAGATGCGTGTTCGTGAAACAGATATATTGCTGCTTTTTTTCTCTGGTTTGCAGCCGTGCTACGCTTTTCACATTATTGACTAATGACTTGACCTGCGTTGTAGGAGATGTTTGACACTTGGGATTTTGTTTTATGACCTAAACATTTCTCCCTGTCCTCTCAGCTGTGTTCCTCTGTCTTCATGATGCTGAAAAATCATTAATCGTCTTTATAACTGTCTTGAAGGCAGTTGGTTAAAATTGCTTGTATGTGGTATTATCAGAATAAGTGGAGTTGAAAGCAAAAGCACGCCACACTTGCGAGAGTGTAAAAAAAAAGCATACCCTTCTCCTTCACAAACACAGACTGCTTTGTGTTGATCTAGCCCATAAAATCAATATAAAACATATCAATGTTTCTGATTGTAACAACAACAAAAAAAAATGGAGAAACTGACCCATCAGTACACGTCGAAGACGGTCATGAACTGCCATGAATCAAATCTAATCAGTTGCTGCTCGTGTCGATGAACACGCCATTAATGCTAAGAATTATTTTCTCTCGGATTACAACATATTGATCTTTTCTCCTTTGAATTATCTCAATATCCAAAGCTTTGGGAGAAGCAAAAGCCAAAGAAAACAAACAAAAGTAGGCTTATGGCGGGGAAAAAAAAAAACACTGTTAAAGAGGTGCAGAAATTTAAATCTAGTTCATAAAAAAAAAAAAAAAAAAAATCACCAAGATAACCCTTATCAGCTCGGCTATTCTCCCTAGAGATGCATTATCGGTCTGCAGGACTGTAATCTGAATGTAGGACATGACTATAAATGAAGTCCAAGCTGCTTTTCACCCTCGCCGGCTACATCGTCTGAAACTGTTATAACAACACACAGCCATATTTAGGATGTCTGGGTAGAATTAGCAGCAGAATGGTGCTCTGAGCACAATTCCCTGTGGAACTGTAATGCTCATTCAGGACCTGAATGAGCATTACTGTTGGTAAATTTCTAGTATTATTTGGTTTGATGACTAATTAGCTTATTTAAATTATGCATTGAATTGCGGAGCCTCATCAGTCATGCTCAGATAACAATGAAATGTGCTCACAAACTAAATTATATGCTGCCTTTTAAATATGGGTTCAACATCTAATATCCATACAACCAAATAGTCACAGTCTCAGTGTTCATTCTCCTGGTTTTGAATAGAGAGTGCAGGGGTTCAAATGCCTCATGCAATTAGAAGGCTCACTGATCCAAGGCCATCAAGAAGCTGCATGTGGCTTAGAGAAATGGCTCAACATGAAGTGGTTTACATGCTTGAAACGGGATTCCTTCAGGACGCCACCGGGCCACGGCCCCGCAAAGGCCACTGGGTTCACTCTGCATCTGCCTGTCTTGAAATCAATCTCAAAAAAACGTAAGTGATTAACTTACTGAACACTGCTCAAGTCAGTCACTTTATTCATTATATTTCAAAAAGACAAAAGAACAACAACAAAAACCCATTTTGTAGCTATTATGTGGTGAACTTTGCAAATGGGTGACGGGGCATAATTAGAGAGCTGAGGAAGCTTGGCTAGTTATGTTTAAGTTTAATACAATTGAGTATCAAAGGTCTTCTCTACATTATGTCTTGTAATGTTCCAAACTAACAGGGTAGCACATCATTTGAAGCGAAAGGAACATGACTTGAAGTTCTGGTGAAGCTTAAAGAAGGATTAGTTTGGCAGAACAAGATCCAAATCTTAGAACATTTGAAAAAAAAAAAGACTATTACACAATCACAAACCTATCAACACAATGACAGGATGTAGAAAAAAAAAAAAAAAAAAATTGAAAAATAACCAAAAGACCCACAGATATTCTGGAAGGGGTCCAGAGGATTGATGGAATACTTTTCCACTTTAGCAGGTTTGCTGGAACACTCAGTGACGTTGTTATGTTTATGACCATGAGGATTTGGATCAATAAAATAATTCTGATTGTGCTGTAACTGATAACTCCCTAATAACCACAGTAAACAATGTTGTCATTATTATCAAGTAGTCGACTGACCGGAGTGATTTGATTGCTCATTTTATTCTGATCAAACTTTCATCGCCAATGGAGACTGCGATCCCTCCCTCTCTGTACGGCCCAGTTCTACTCGAACTTTTCTTTGGTTTTCACTAAAAGTTCTAAAGCTTTGTCTTAAGTAGCGCCGTGGACCATAGCACTTTGTAAAGGCAACAATAGCAGTTTTTCCCTGAGATGTAAACCAAGCCTGAAATCTCACTACCGGTGCTTTGGCATATTTCGGCTCTAAAAAAAAAAAAAAAAAAAAAAAGCAGATTCCAAAATTTAACCGTTACCAGAGTTTGCATCTGCAAGTTGAAAAGAAGATAAATATTTCAAAACTCCATGTTTGTTGTGCCTGTTTTCCCGGCGTTAGAGTCCCTACGGCGGATAAATGTCGCCAAGTTAAAGAGGATGCGACGTCCCGAGGCAAAGAGCATTTTTGGTGAGCAATAACTAAAATAGGGTGCGAACGCTCTCGGCGCTGTTTCTTTTCTTTTTTTCCCCCCCCCAGGAAGTCACCAAACGTGTCGACATGCCCCGGTTTTTCTGACGGACGCCGGCCAACGTCTCAGCAGGAGGAGCTGCGATCAGACTTCAGACTGAAGCTTTGGAAATAGATCAGTCTGCAGCGCGACAGACACAAGTTAGTTTTTTTTTTTATTTCAGCAGAAATGAATCACAGCGGTAATAATGCCGCAGATGTATGATGATAACTAAATTGAATCTAACTGGTGTTAAAATTGGTTTATTGGAGGACTCTGCTGAAGAATATTAAACCCCTTAACAAAATGCATTCTATGTGCTTCACCCTAATTATATTTTGCAGCAACTATTATTAAGAGAGAATAGAAGTAAAACCATGTGTTTACATAAAAAGAGACATATTGCAGGTTTCTGTGAGATAACTGAACATATCAAGAAGATAATTGTGGACCTCCGCTTGTCTGGGTTGACTTACATTTGGGGATAATGTGAAGAAAAAAAAAAAAAAGTATCTACCAGGTCGCCTGTTGTTGTTTTGGTCATATTCTCTTGTATTTGACAACAGTGGTTCAAATGGCGATCAGAATCCCAATCTTGTAATTTAAGTGTGAAATCCTAAATCACTGACAAGACTTTAGCCTTTTCACGATTAAATAAACTGATACACAAAGGTGAAGTTCGTAGATATAAGAAAAAAAACGTTTTTAGAAGTAAGTACCAGAAGTTGATTGGGATGAAATGGCCACACTAACACCCAAGCACGCTCTGCAAAGCGGTGATAAAAATAAAAAAATCGCTGCCTTTTATTCTGTTACGGCCTTCAACAACATAAAGCCGAGCTAACCCAGAGCAACTTTATTATTTTTCTTTACCTCCAATGGTTACCGCAGCAGTTTGAAAACAGCTCGATAAGACTGCTGTCTACTGACTATCTAGATGGCTTTTCTAGATAGAGTTAAAATTTTAAGTATTTTACCTCTTAAAACACCTTACAACATGAAACAAAGGAGCTAAAATGACTCAAATTGGACGCAAGAATACTGTGACTGGCTACCTAATAGTTATAATAACAGAGTCCAGCTGATTCCCTACATCAAAAAAAAGAAAAAGAAAAAAGAAAAGGTTGGTTGTTTATCCTGTCATAATGTTTTCACTCCTGGTTGACAGTTTGGATTTGTTCAGCCCTGCTGTCCTCTCCTTCTTTGCCGGTGTCTGTGTGTGCTGTCTCCTCCACTACAGCAATGTGTCGCCACATTTAGCTTTCAGCCTGACAGTCTTATGCTGCTCCGGGGCAGACAACCACAGCTGATGTATATACTGGAAAGTCAGGCTGCCCTATTTAACCCTTGCGTTATCCTGCGGGTCAAAAGTGACCCATTGCCATGTTTAGCTGTAGGAAAAATACCCTAAACTATCTTTTTTCAACTTGAAATTTATGACATTTATTAAATGTCACTTTGTTTTTGTTTATATTTCCATGAAATCTGTACACCACTTGGGTACAAGGATTGTCTTATGGGTCATTTCTGAACTATAAAAGCATTTAAACACCCGGAAAAAGAGTTCAAAGGAATTGTGAACTGTTCACAAAATCAAGCTTCCTTTTGTTTTCTTGTGTTACGAGAGGTACTTTTGCAGTACGATTCCTAAAAAAATACAAATGAATGAGCCTTCGTCAAAAACGGCCCATTCTTGACTTAAACTTCCCTTTCAGTCTAATAGATTCAGAAGTAAGAATTTCATATTTATATAATTACAATAATAAACCTTTACTGTGTAAAAGAAAACTGTTTGCAACACTTAAAAAAAAGTGTAATACTGATCGTCTTTTTGTACTGCATAACATAAATACATGTTGAAAAATTAATTAAATTGATTTGAATTGATAAGTAACAGATTGTTTCATCATGCAAAATAGATTGTGGATTTAAAATTCAATTAATTTGCTTTATTTTGGGGCTTTTGTTCAACCTCAAGCACCACGCTGGGAAGTGAGTGTTAAAAAAAAAAAAACTGTCTTAAATGCAGCATTTTATGATCGTCGGTAAAGAGAACAGAGCACGTCTCGACAATCAGACTGCATGAAAGACGTCCAGAACACAAACACCTCTTACTGTATATTTTCTGTGTGTGTGCGCGCATACTTGAAATATAGGCCGTTAATTACAATCAAGAGGATATTGTTTGCACTACATGCGGCAATGGTGTTGCTTTTAGCTAAAAGAAGAGAATCCCTTCTGCCACCCGTCTCCATCCATTGTGAGAGAAATTAAACACACGAACATAGACATTTACATAAAACTCATCGGATGTGACAACGGTCTTGATGACCTCTCTGGACAAAGAGGTAATTTTCTCTAAAATTGCCATTTGTCATTGAAAACCGTCATGGTGACTGTTTCTACGTTTAAGTTTGAGTAATCAGTCAGGAGTGAAGGTGCATTTCTCTTCAAATCACAAAAGTGACACATGTCTTGTCAATTGCTAAAACCTTTCTGAAAACAAATTTTCTGGGCAGCAAAGAAAACGCCACCTCTTATGTTAAAAAAAAACAAAACAAAACAAAAAAAAACAAAATAAAAAAAATGATAATCAAGCCATTGCTTAGCAACAGAGGGCTCCATAGCAACTGTGCAGCATTTTCTCAACGCTGCTGCGGGAGAAGCATCATGATTTATCCAGTCGAATCAGTGTTTGCTTTTCTTCTCAATGGCTACCGCTCTCACGAAGCCCTCTTCACGGGAAAATTAACAAACGCAACAATACGGCGCAGGGGCTGCTCCTGCATGCGGTACGGCAGCCTCCAGTATTCCCATCACAGTGAAGATCAACCTGCACTGCAGCGCTGGCACCTTCAGCTCAGAAAAGCCTAAGGGTCTCTTAAAAGAGCCAAACAAACAAAAAAAAACTTAACAAAACTAAATGTTAACACTGAACAGAAGGAGATGATCAAATTAAGAAAGGGAACAATTTAAGGATCATATGTGTTCAGATTAATAGCTGTGCTGCTGTTATTCCATTATTCTGCATCAGAAAGCAATATTTGATTAATGTGAAAAAGAAAACAAACAAAAAAAAAACCTCTCTTTATTTAGTTACATACTAAACACACTGCGAAATGAATATTTAGCTCCAAAATAGCGAGTGTGGAGCTGGATATTTATGTTGCTAACTAAACATTTTGTTTGAAACTGTGGCATGTTAGTAATGAATGAACAACATGGTGAAAATACCACTTTGAAAAATGAACCTCGGTTTTCTCTCCTTCTCTTTCTGACAGAATAAATAATCCAGATTATGGCTTTTCATTTTTCACCGTGTGACTTTACAAACGGCGCCTCGTCAGCCTCAACCTAAAATTTCTTGGTTGAAATCACCGTCTCTTCCCTTTACGACGTGAAAGCATTTTTTGCACACAGATAAACAAACTGGATTTTGAAGCTGATTTAATTGAGTCAATTTCAAGTCCATCAGTGAATCAGAATTAAAGAAATATGAGCATTTAAAGCGAGACGTTTTAATAAAACACAATTTGTCAATCAAAAAAAATCATAAATGCCACAAAACATAGTCTGAAATTTATATAAAGTGATGTTATGATGTCACCCAAAGAAGCAGAGTGTTTAAAATGCATTCACAGTTGCTTCCCAACACAGATGTTTTAAATGAACCAATCAGAGGCTTGCAAAGCCATGACATCATCATCTGGGCTTCTCCCAGATTAGAACAGAAATGAGTAATCTACTTGATCCCTGGGGGTACAGGCAAATGGAACCACAAAGACACATGCAGAAAGCTATAATGAACACTTGTAATCACGCTTACATGATTACAAGTTATCATGTAAACTAAAGCTCTTTTTTTTTTTTTTTTTAATGAAAGCACAGGATAGGATTTGGTACAAGCTGCGATTCCATTCAACAGCTTTCCACCAGCGCGATTTATTGTTAGACAAATCCATTTTCTGAAGCAGCTTGAGGGTTGCTGCAGAGCTGAAGTCGGCATCCAAGCATGAGGGGGCGTGAGAGAGAAGCCTCAGACAGGACATCAGTCTGTCACAGAGCCAACGCACACGCATCCCGACGTTACACATTCACACCTACGGGCAACTCGGAGTTTCCGACTGACCTCTCCGGGGCCGTGGGAGGAAAGCGGCGCGCGCGTTTGGAAATGAGCACAGACGCGGCGCGAGCCAGTTTAACTCAGAACAGAGGGGAAGGAAGAAAAACAAACAAATCCCACACAGATTGGCAGACGTGATTCCAGGACCTTCTAGTAAAAAGGCAAAACGCCACCGCAAAATCCTTCACCAGCACAACCTGAGCAACAGAATCCTGTCTGACAATGAATCTACAAAATCGGTTTTGAACGAACATCCACACAAAAAGTTAGCAAAAAGGACATTTTCTAAGCGACATGTTTTTTGTTTTGCTTTACTCTAATGAAATGTCGTGTGTCTGTGGTAGAGCTGATAAATCGGGTGATATTTTAGTCAGACCTGCAGATGGCGTTGATTTAAACCAGTCAAATTAAGGCCGATGGCTGGATGAGTGATGGCTTTGAAACGGTGAAATCCTCAAAGGCAAAGGTCACCAGACCAAGACAGAAGAGTCACAAGAGACGAAGTACTTATGGAAATGTTCGCAGGGTCGTACCCAAAAACAAACAAAACAAAAAAAACAACAACAAAAAAAACCAGAGTATGTTGTTTCAGACTTGTCATTAAAAAGGAGAACAAAGTCAAATTGAGTATGCCGGTCATGTTCAGCTCTTCACATTTTTCTAATTGATAGTCAGAAAGATACCAGATAGTTCAGCAACCCTTTTTAATGGGATGGTTTAGATTTGTTCAAAGTGAGGTTTTGTGGAGTATTTGTTAGCTGTCAGTACCTCTAAAACATAATATATTAAGTAGAGTCGTTAACACATCCCCCTCCCGGCCCCACTTATGGGACTCCGTAATCGACAGTATTTGACTCCCGTGAGTGACGATGCGCTGTCCTGCTAACCGTCGGTCGCTGTCGATGGCTGTCGCTCGCGTCAGTATGGAGGGTCAAAAACACCACTTTTCTTGCGACGATACCTAACATGTTAGTATTTTGTTTCACCAAAAAATGTGGGGCATTTGTGAAGCAGTGACAGACGCATGGTGCGGACCGT